GACTTTCTGATTCCTGATCTTGACTTTCAGACGCACGGCTTTTACCTTCGAGTCTCAGTTGGGCCGAGGCTAACCTTGCTTGTATGTTTGGGCTTTCTTGTCTTTTTAACCACTCGATCACGCGAGCTCTGCAATCAGCATTATGTGGTTTATGCTCTTTGTCGCCTCTAACTAGGCATTTACACCCGTAACATCCCGGCGTCGGTCCCATTTTCAGATATTCGTGCTTCTTTACGGCTATTCCTCGCGCAATCAGCGGCTTCGTCTCAGGCGCCGTTAACTCTTGCTCTGGCAAGTCCATGGGGACCATAATTCTAGACTGTAACTCCATTCCTGCCGTGTTGGGGTCAGGCTGCCAAGGTAACCCCTTCATCTCGGTGATTTCGTTCATATTCCATCTTTCCGCTTCACTTCCCTTTCGTTTGAACTCGTGCGCCTTGATCGCTCCGTTCGGTGTTCCAATGATGAGCTCCTGACTCTTCTCGTTAATTCCCAAAAACACTCCACTTTCCCATCTCATTTCAAGCTTTTCACGGCCTGTGTGCGCAGGCGTCTTTAAATACATGACACATTCACCGAACTCAGGAATTTGTTTGTTAAACTTCCTCCCCCTACATCTTTCATGGGCTGTCTTTCCATCTGTATCTATCGTGAACTTGTTAATCAGAGAAGACGCATAACTTACCATCCATGGTATAATCGCATGGCTTTCACTAAACTCGGTCTTGTAATTGGCATCCAAGGCGCTCTTTAATGTCCTGACTTGTCCTTGCACCGTTCTAACAGCTCTCTCAATTTCACCGTTGGCCTTTGAATCGCCTACAGGACTGACTTCAACACCCATGTCAAGGTCACTCGACGCTTTAATCCTGTTGGCCAGCGCCGTAATTGCCGCTTCTCCATCACTTTTAAGTATAACCTTCTTATATCCGGTAAAGCCGATCATGTCACATCCCACTTTTACTGAGTATGGATCCACCCGTTTCTTCAACAACACTCGGCTCCACGTCAATTTGGTTCCCCTGCAATGCATGACCAGAATTGGGTTACCATTGCTCGCACTTTCGCCTTCTTCCTTTCTTCCTTTAAGCCACATGTAATCCATTGAAATTACTGGTGCACCTCCGTTCCTTTTCCTTTTACGTCTCCTGTGATTGCGCCTACGCGCTTTGCCTCTAACGCAATGTGGGCACCAACTTCGGCAAGGTAAATGCGTTGCATTGTGCGCCTCAACTTCCTCCTTTGACGGTCTCATGTCACAGTGAACTTTCTTCGGTAACTCTGCTTCGTCACTCACAAACACGTCTTCTACGTCACTCAACTCACTTTCGCTGCCCCCACTTTCACTCCCTTCGCCTTCTTCGGCGTTAAAGACGTTTAAGTTTTCGCTTGGTCTTACGGGTAATGAGGGGCTTAATAGAACAGGTCCGCCTCGAGGGTTCCCGGCCGCGGAAAACCCTCAGCTGCGTTTACTTCACTCTTGGGCTTGACAGCCTCCACCGGCCCCTTCGGCACCGCGATGTTCAACTGGAACGTGCCATTCTTCTCGTGGATGGTCGTGCATTTACCCGTGGCCTCGTTCATAATATGACTCAGGGATCTCCCGTTAAGGTCCTTGTCGAATACAACTCTGTTTCCAGCGTTTACCATTTCTCTGACAGATCCCAGAACTTTGTTGACTTCCGCCACTTGAATTGGCATGCTGACTGAGTTTCCATGTTCATTCTTGCCGGTTGCTACTCGCTGCCCGTAATTATTTATCGTCGTTCCGTTCGCTGCGCTGTAGTGTCTTCCCTGCTTTGACGCATCTGTTTGTTCAATGGGGAAGTAGGTGCCTATTCTTGGGGGCCCTACCGTGTCGTACGCTCCAGAGTCCACGGTAACCACGATTGTTTCGCGCGTTGTACTCTGAGGTGGCACCGCGTTAATTTCTGGATCACAGTCTCGCATTTCGATTAGCCCAATTTCTCCACATTTCTCCAACCAACTCTTTCCCTGCTTTATGCTTTTACTTATCCTCTGGCCCCACTGATTTACATGATTGCAGTTCCCGTTACACCGATGCTCCTGGTAAGCTTTTCTCAGGCCCACCGCGACTTTACGCGCCATTTTCTTTCTGGAATGTGAGGGCAGTGGCCATTGTCCGTTAATCTCCTCAGCCGTGGGCGGCTCCGGTGACACGTTCACTTCATCACTCATCTCAACACTGAGCACATGCTGCGGTTGGCCAAACGAGGTGGTTTGTTCACTTTCCGCGTTTACCGTTGGTCTCTCTTGCTCAACTTCGTTGGCGGTCTTCTCGGGGCCTGGGCAGTTAACGGCAATGTGCCCTTTAGCGCCACACTTGTAACACTCGCGCTCGCTGTGGGGGGTAAACCTCCCTTGGCCACCGTAACTTCCACCCCGCGAGCCGCCACCTTTACCGCCTTGTTTGCCTCCAATCTTACCTTTCATGTAGGATCCATAGGTGGCACGGTAACCTTTGCCTTTGCCGCCTTTGCCACCTTTGCCTCCTTTCGTGAACTGTTTAGGCTTTGTGCAGTTCCTGGCTAAATGACCCATGCCTCCGCAATTGTAACATTTGGGGCCTGAGCCTTTGCCTTTACCCTTGTTTACGGCGTCGACTTCCTCATGATCTCCAGTTTCACTTTCATTAGCCCAGGACCCGTAACTCCAAGATCCGCCCTCTGGCCACCAGTTTCCATCTTCGTCAACCCATCCTGTCTGATCCCAGACATTTTCGGACCCTTGACTCGTCTCGTTAATATTTCCAATGCCCATCGCATCTTTATTTTTGGTGTCTGAGTCGAGTTTCTTCCTGCGCGCCCAATCTTCACACTTGGAGCATAGCTTTTGGAACGAATCAATGTTAAGTGCGTCGGGCGTCCGCCAACACGCCTGCTGCCACTCGTCAAACCAATCATTCGCATGCACCATTATTGCCCTGAGCGCGGTAACCTTAAAGGGGAGGGCAGTGAGTAATCCTTGCCATACTTTTCAAAATTCTCCGCTAACGCGCTCCACTCCTCGAGTCGGGCAACGGTATCGGTAATTTTCTTGGGCGGCTCAGGGTTCATAGCGTGCGTCATCTTTGAGGAAAGGGTCGCTCCGGTAACAGCCGAGTACAATTTGTAAACCTTTTGCCAAGCCATAATTCCGTCACCATCCATGAGTCCCTTTAATTTTCCCCTTGCTTCTGCACCTTCAAGCTTTTCGTTCAGGATGTACCATGAGTCTTTCTCCATTTGAGTTTTGTCTCCCTCGGTAAACTCATAATCTCCTTTGTTGTCATCCTCTGCTTGTTTAGCTTGGTTTGCCTTTAAGTATTCGCTTGCTGTTAACCGGCCGTTCATTATGCGTATGATATCATCATCATCTTCCTCTGGGACAACCCCGTCGAGTGTCTCCAACTTCTTGTTCAACATTTTCAGTGCCGGTCGGTAACTCGGTTTTACTTGGGCAAGCGCGTTTAAGAACTTGTCGCTCCAGTCTCTGAACTTTGCTCTTTCTCCACTGAAATTCTTTAACGCCTGTAATGCTTTGTACTCGCTTATCGGTTTACCGCTCCCGTGCTTACTTCCGCTTCCGCCTTTGATTGCTTCCGAAAGTTGACCAAACTTTTCAATTAACTTCTCTTGTGCTTCGCTGTTGGTCTCCAACTCGGTAACTCTGTCTACCAATCAGCGAGCATCCCTTTTCAAGCGCAGCGTTTCTCTTCGTTATCGCTAACAACATGCCGTTGGTCTTCTGAGCGCTCTGTAACATTTGAAACGCCTCAACGTTCGATACTTCCCTTCGGTCCTGTGTTACTCGCTCGTTAATGAACGTCGCAAGTCCATAATGATTTGCAAGTAACGCCGTCTGAACGTAACTGAAGTCCCCGTTCAGGTACGCCTGCTCGCACAGGTCGTTGAAGCGGTTGGGGTCCATGTTGACCCATGCATCTCTGTCCGCCGGCACGTTAAGGTTGACCGGCGGGTCGCCCTGCGCGGGCCTAGCTGCAGCGGCCGCCGCCGCCGCCATGGCAACCGCGCTCCGCTACCATGCAAAACCCCGAGGAGGGTTCTGCACGGGAGCTCGGTGACAGCCATGACGATCGGTCACCTTTTTACCTCGGCACGGCGAAGCAAGTCTCGGTAGCTTCAGCCGTTAAACACTTGAGCCAAAAGTAACGGGGGCACCTTCACTCCCCAGTCACCTGAGTGCTTACATGTTAACATCCCTCTCCCCTCCTCCTCCTCCTCCTCCTCCTCCTCCTCCTCCTCCTCCTCTTCCTCCTCCTCTTCCTCCTCTTCCTCCTCTTCCTCCTCTTCCTCCTCTTCCTCCTTTTCCTCCTCTTCCTCCTCTTCCTCCTCTTCCTCCTCTTCCTCCTCCTCCTCCTCCCCCGCCTCCCTCCTCCCTCCTCCCTCCCCTCCTCCCTCCTCCCTCCTCCCTCCGCCCTCCTCCCCCTCCTCTCCCTCCTCCTCCTCCATCCTCCTCCCTCCTCCTCCTTCCTCCTCCTCCATCCTCCTCTTCCTCCACTTCTTTCTCCTCCTCCTCCTCCTCCGCCTCCTCCTCCTCCTCCGCCTCCTCCTCCTCCTCCTCCTCCGCCGAGCATCGGGCTCTCAGGGGGCGTCCTTGAGCCGTCACGGGGATGCCATGGAGGCCCTGCTGGCCCTCTTGGGCGTCACATCCTGCGTCGTCCACGTTTCGATGGCGGAGGGGGGGGGAGAACGGACAGGACAGGGGCGCGCGGAGCGCGCCAGGGGCGGCGCCGGAGGCGCCGCCAGGGGGTTTCAGCGCGGATCCGAAAAATCCGCGCGGACCTCCCAATGTTTATGTTTATGTTATTCTTCGTTCCCCTAGATAAGTGCATGCGTCTGTGACGCCTCGCATCCCGCGAAGGGAGGGCGGTGGTCCCCCCGGCGCCTGCATGGATTGCAGTCCGCGCAGGGGCAGGAGCAGGAGCAGGAGCAGCAGTCGGAGAAGGAGCGAGAGGGAGGTGTGCATGTAGGTCCAGGCCTCCGCCGTCGGCATCGTTGCGCTCAAAGATGTCTCGGCAGAGCTGCTGCTCGTGGGCCTCGTACCTCTCTAGAAAGGAGCAGAACTCGCCGAAATCCATATAGTCGTACCTCGGCGAACCCAACGTGCGCTGCCGGCTGTGTCTCTCCAAACTGGAGCGTGACTGATTCCTACTGGGCCGCCATCTGATCACGAGGTGGGCACAATCATCGTGCTACCAAAAGGAACGCTGAGCCGCGGGGTGCCTGGGCCAAGAACAAGATCTCTGACCTACAGTGGGGCCGACAAAAAGAAACCTTCTACAAGAAATCCAACCCTGAGACCCCAGGATGTCCATTGACTTTTGGTGTGGAGCGTCACGCTTACTAATTATGGCAAAACCATCGACCCCCCCCAAAAAAACAGGGCACCCTGGAGGCGAGCAGGGTGTTTCTTGGCATGGGCCCCCACTGTAGATCTCAGGCACGGCGCAAAAACCAGAGCCCCTCCTGAGCCCCAGTCGTTATCTCAACGTCTCGACTCTATGTCGCGTGAACACAAGCCTGGAAACTTCCTTGGGGGACACGGCAAATCACACCATGGCCGCGGTGAGCGGGCGTGATGCATTCAAGCCAGAGCTCCCCAGTATCTTACCAGAGGAGGTGCGACGGGGCAGGATCCAAGCGGCCCCCTTTGGGGTTGCGGTGCGAAATCCATCGTGCGCCTGCTCGCCTAGAGCCCTTGACATTGTTGGAGCAACCGTCGTCATTACCTGGCCCCTGGCGTTAGTTTCTGGATCAAATCTGCTGTGCACGCCCTGGGTACCCAACCATCCTGTGGTCCTTTGGAGCCCAGAGGGCCCGCCCAGGCTTCGACCAGTGCCGGTCGCTGTGGACGGGAGGCGGAGAGAAGAGGGATGACGCACACATGAGCGAGGAGGACGAGGAGGAGGGTGGACGACGGAGAAAGGGAGGGGCGGAGGAGGAGAGCGACGACGAGAATGAACATGGGAGGAGGAGGAGGAGGAGGAGGAGGAGGAGGAGAAGGAGGAGGAGGAGGACAAGCTGGAGGTATGAAGCAGGGGAGGATGACAAGTAGGAGGAGGAGGAGGAGGAGGAGGAGGAGGTGAGGAGGAGGAGGACGAGGAGGAGGAGAAGGAGGAGAAGGGCGAGGACGAGGAGGGCAGTAGCCCCGCGCGTCGCAAGGGCGGTCCAGGGCACGAGGTGACCTTCTGCGCGATGGTTCCCAGCGACGACTGCTTGACGAGGCAGTAGCCCAGAAATCTCAGTAGCTCCTCTAGATCGTCAACATGCAGGTCTGGCTCCCCTGGCACCTATGGGCGAAAGTCGGACGAGCCTTTATCAAATTATATCAATTCGGATACGCGCACCGTCCATCCGTCCCCTCCCTTCCGGAGGAAGTGACAACGGTGCCAGAACACGGCGGCAGCCTGGGAGCAGAGGAAGCACCAAATGCGGGAGGGAAGAGGGTGCAGAGCGGAAGGAAGCAATGACACCACAAGGATCTTCTGGCGATGGATGGCACTCCAGCCTTGAATCGGTTGAACACCATCTGTAGCTGCTTCATCTTCTGCTCCTGGGCCAGCTGCTCCTGGAGCGCGCATGTTCGCCCCTCGGCGCAGAGACCCTGATCATGCTGCTGCGACCAGCCCCTCCAGTCCGTTCCATCAGGCCTCCCTGGACCCTGGACCACTCCGATCACAACAACCACTGACTGCAACGCGGGATAAGCCAAAACGGTGAGGCTAGGCAAGACCGTGCTGTCCCCCCTTCCCCTCCCCCGCTCGCCCTCCCCACCCCGCTCGCCCTCCCGGGGAGAGGGAGGCGGATGGGGAGGAGCAGGAACGGAGCAGGGGGGGAGGGAGCAAGAGAGGAGCAGGAAAGGATCTGGTCTCCGAGCCCCTCCCACCCAAGAGTCCTGCTGCTCTGGCGTGAGCTCCACGGGTCCTCCCGCAGGCTCTACGGGTCCTCCCGCGGGAAGGCGTAGGAGACGGTGGGAGGTGGAAGATTGGAGGAGGGGGGAGGAGGAGGAGGAGGAGGAGGAGGAGGAGGACCCGCAGATCAAATAGCTCCGCTGGGTAAACGGGGAGCCCGCAATATTCAACAAGAAGGATGCGGCCAAAGCTCAATTAACCGCCAAAGTGGTAGATGTTTAAGAGGAATCCCTGAACACGGGTGGCACTTGTCCTTTCGAATTTTAGAGGCCGCAACTCTGACCCGACCAGCCTCCCAGGTGACGGGACCCTCACGTTGGGCGAGGAGGAGGAGGACGTTACTGAGGAGGAGGGGGAGGAGGAGGAGGAGGAGGAGGAGGAGGAGGAGGAGGAGGGGGAGGAGTAGGAGCGGGAGCAAGAGTAGTAGGAGTCAAGCTAGCCAGATCGCGAGTCAAGAATGACATGCCCATTCCCACCCGCCCTCTCACAACATAAGAAAAATGCTGGCACAACCAGGGGTCGAACGCCCAATACACGTGCGAATGTTATTAGCAACACAGATCTGAATGGTAGCAGTCGTAACAGTAGCAGTCGTAGTCGTGGTGGTGGTGGTAGTAACAGCAATAGTAGTAGTAGCAGCAGTAGGAGTAGTAGTACTAGTAGTAGTAGTAGTAGTAGTAGGTAGTAGTAGTAGTAGTAGTAGAAGTAGTTCGTAGCCGTAGTAGTAGCAGTATTAGAACAAACCCCCCCCCCAAAAAAAATAAAAAAAAAGTAGAGTAGTGTCGTAGTAGTAGTAGTAGTAGTAGTAGTATGTAGAGTAGTAGTAGTCGTAGTAGTAGTAGGTAGTAGAGCAGTTAATAGTAGTAGCAGGAGTAGTAGTTTAGTCGTAGTAGTAGTAGTAGTTAGTAGTAGTAGTAGTAGTAGTAGTGTAGTCGTGCAAGTTAGTAGTAGCAGGAGTAGTAGTAGTGTCACAGTAGTCGTAGTAGTAGTAGTAGTAGTGGTAGTAGTAGTAGTAGTCGTAGTAAATAGTAGTAGTAGTAGTAGTAGTAGCAGTAGTAGTAGCAATAGTAGTAGTAGTAGTAGTAGTAGTAGTAGTAGTAGTAGTAATGTTAGTAGGTAGTAGTAGAAGTAGTAGGCCGTAGTAGTCGTAATTGTAGTAGTAGTGTAGTAGTAGTAGTAGTAGTAGTAGTAGTAGTAGTAATAATAGTAGTTGTAGTTATAGTGGTAAGTAGTAAGTCGTAGTCGCAGTAGTAGTTAGGTAGTAGTTGTATAATAGTAGTTAGTAGTAATAGTTCGTAGTAGTAGTCGTCGGAATAGTGTCGGAGGTCGTAGTTCGTAGTAGTAGTAGTAGTAGTAGAGTAGTAGTAGCAGTAGTAGTAGTAGTAGTAGTAGTAAGTAAGTAGTAGTGGTAGTGGTCGTATATAGTAGTAGTAGTAGTAGATTAGTAGTCGTATTAGTAGTAGTAGTGTAGTAGAAGTAGTAGTACTAGTAGTAGTAGTAGTAGTAGTAGTAGTAGTAGTAGTAGTAGTAGTAGTAGTAGTAGTAGTAGTAGTAGTAGTAGGAGTAGTAGGAGTAGTAGCGGTGGTAGTGGTAGTGGTGGTAGTGGTAGTGATAATGGTACGGTGCCCGGACAAAAAGTCTCCACACCCATCGCGCTAAGATGATACGACATCGAATTCAGTCGAACAAATATCCGTAGCCCCCGCCCCCCCCCCAACTCAAAGTTGGCGGGGTTAGCTGCGAAGCAACGCGCGAAGGACAAAATGTGGACACTTCAAATTTGAGGTTTGGGGGGGAGGGGGGCGAGTCAAATGTAGATTGCACTTGTTGTTGCCATCATGTCTGACTGCCTTCTCGCCGTCGGTGTGGGCACTTTTTGTCCGGGCACCGTCTGGGTAAGCAGGTTTTTATTGTTTCATGGATGTGGGTATATGAATGTGTGTTGATGTTGTCCTAGTTTATGTTAGGTCATGTCGAAGGTGTGATCTGTTGTTGGATTTGATGCTAGATATGCCGAAGTTGTTTTGTATAGTGACGCTTCGTATACGTTGACCGTTCAAAGACTTGTAATCATTTCGGCGTTTACCTAGGATGTTGTTCTCTTTTGTAGCATTCTTGTGGGTCTCTGAGGGCCCTCCTGGCTATCTTGGGGCCCTCATTGACCGTCTCCACCTGGCGCGCGCGTCGCACCTGGCGGGGGCTGGGTCGGTGCACCTGGGATGTTGAAATATGTGATGCTCCAGGCGCCAGGATGACGTGAGTCCACGACCTGCGCGGGAACGCCGTAAAACTTGTAAAACTTGTAAAACTTGTAAAACTTCCGCGTGAAACTTGTTGGCAAAATACGTAACTCGTAAAACTTGTCAGAGAGAAACCTTCTTGTAAATTGAAAGTCTTCTTTCTTTATAAATTTTACAAGTTGTACGTCTTTTCCCAACAAGTTTTAAGCGCACGTTGTACAAGCTGCACGAGTTTAAAGCGTTTTCCTGATGCGGCGCAACTGGCCATCGCGCGGCGCCCCCCCCCCCCCTCCCCCCGCCAGGGGCCGGGCGGACCGCGCGAGAGCGGCTGCCCCATCGTCCTCGGGGTCGTCCTTGGAGACGGGCGTGGCGGGCGCACCAGGCGAACTTGGAGCACTGCGCGCACCTGGCAAACCTTGCTCACCTGGCGCGCGCGGTGCACCTGGCAGGGACTGGGGCGGTGCACCTGGGATGTTGGAATACATGATGCTCCAGGCGTCCAGAAGACACATGTGCACGAAACTAACCCCCTCACATGACAATGGTGGTGGCATCGGCGTTGTCGATGGTGATGCTGGAGGCGCATGTGTCGACGCTGAAGTTGGTGTGCGGGAGCCGTTCCGTAATAGTGGTAGTCACCACCTTCCGAGCTTCTTGAAAAACCCGCGCGCCCTTGGACAGGCAACGCGCCCCGGCAGGCCCGCGCCCGCCTTCCCTTTGCGTGGAGAAGTGCATGGAGCTGGTGCAACTGGCACAACCAGTTCTTTGCAGGACCTGATTTTTGGTTAGCAGTTCGTGGACCAAGTGCATGGCCAGTTCTACGACCAGTTCTGTCCAGTTGTGCCAGTTCTGCGCGCGCAGAGGCATGCGACGGGGGCGCAGCGCCCTTGCTCACTCCTCGAAGTCCGCGCCCTTCGCGGCCAGCAACGCGGTGCAGCGCCGCTTCATGGACTTCACCAGTGGCTCAAGGGTGGCCGAGGGGACCCGCGTGATGGTGCGCTTCAGGCGCCGAATGAAGGCGGCCCTGCTCTCCTTCTTGAACGGCGGGAACTTCGCCTCCTGGCCCCGCAGGCGCTTATTGATCATGGACCAGAAGCCGTAGTCAAGGGGGTTGAGGTCCGGGCTGCGCTTGGGGAAAGGAATGCACTTCACCTTCTCCTTCGCCTGAAGGCAACCCGCGCCCGCCCAGCAGGCCCGCCCCCCTGAGCGCGCCTTCGCCGAGCCGCGGGGCCAGCGGGCCCGTGGCTTCGAAGGAGGCGCGCCCAAGATGGAGCCGCCGATTGGACAATCGAGGAAGGGCCTTAGCCTCTTTGCTGAGCTTGGCCTTGTACCCCGTCGGGTCGTTGTCCTCCAGAATGAGGAAAGACCGCCACTTCGCGTTGGCCTTGCGCAGCGCCGGGGCCAAGGCCTCCTGGTGCATCTCCGCCGCCGTCGCCGCGTTCCAACGTCCGTCCACAACGCGGCACATGAGCACCTTCTTTGCGGAGATGGCCACGGCCACGTTGACGTTCTTGCCGAAAGAGGACTTGTTGCTCTTCCTCGGCTCGACGTGGCCCGAGGAAACCTGGAGACGGCCAATGAGGGCCCCAAGACAGCCAGGGGGGCCCTCAGAGACCCACAAGAATGCGACAATAGAGAACAACATCCAAGGTTAACTCCGAAATGATTACAAATCTTTGCACGGTCAACGTATACGAAGCGTCACTATACAAAACAACTTCGGCATATCTAGCATCAAATCCAACAGCAGATCACACCTTCGACATGGCGTAACATAAACTAGGATAACATCAACATAAATTCATATACCCACATCCATGAAACAATAAAGACCTGCTTACCCACACGGTGCCCGGACAAAAAGTGTCCACACCGACGGCGAGAAGGCAGTCAGACACGATGGCAACAACAAGTGCAATCTACATTTGACTCGCCCCCCTCCCCCCCAAAACTCAAAGTTGAAGTGTCCACATTTTGTCCCTCGCGCGTTGCCTCGCAGCTAACCCCGCCAACTTTGATTATTTTTTTTGGGGGGGGCGGGGGCTACGGATATTTGTTCGACTGAATTCGATGTCGTATCATCTTAGCGCGATGGGTGTGGACACTTTTTGTCCGGGCACCGTCTGGGCAAGCAGGTCTTTATTGTTTCATGGATGTGGGTACGCGAATTTATGTTGATGCTATCCTAGTTTATGTTACGCCATGTCGAAGGTGTGATCTGTTGTTGGATTTGATGCTAGATATGCCGAAGTTGTTTTGTATAGTGACGCTTCGTATACGTTGACCATGCAAAGATTTGTAAGAATTTCGGAGTTTACCTTGGATGTTGTTCTCTTTTGTAGCATTCTTGTGGGTCTCTGAGGGCCCCCCTGGCTGTCTTGGGGCCCTCATTGGCCGTCTCCAGGCTTCCTCGGGCCACGTCAAGCCGAGGAAGAGCAACAAGTCCTCTTCCGGCAAGAACGTCAACGTGGGCACTTTTTTTGAAACGGTCAACGTGGCCGTGGCCATCTCCGCAAAGAAGGTGCTCATGTGCCGCGTTGTGGACGGGCGTTGGAACGCGGCGACGGCGGCGGAGATGCACCAGGAGGCCTTGGCCCCGGCGCTGCGCAAGGCCAACGCGAAGTCGCGGTCTCTCTTCATTCTGGAGGACAACGACCCAACGGGGTACAAGGCCAAGCTCAGCAAAGAGGCTAAGGCCCTCACTCGATTGTCCAATCGGCGGCTCCATCTTGGGCGCGCCCCCTTCGAAGCCACGGGCCCGCTGGCCCCGCGGCTCGGCGAAGGCGCGCTCGGGGGGGCGGGCCTGCTGGGCGGGCGCGGGTTGCCTTCAGACGAAGGAGAAGGTGAAGTGCATTCCTTTCCCCAAGCGCAGCCCGGACCTCAACCCCCTTGACTACGGCTTCTGGTCCATGATCAATAAGCGCCTGCGGGGCCAGGAGGCGAAGTTCCCGCCGTCCAAGAAGGAGAGCAGGGCCGCCTTCATTCGGCGCCTGAAGCGCACCATCATGCGGGTCCCCTCGGCCACCCTTGAGCCACTGGTGAAGTCCATGAAGCGGCGCTGCACCGCGTTGCTGGCCGCGAAGGGCGCGGACTTCGAGGAGTGAGCAAGGGCGCTGCGCCCCCGTCGCATGCCTCTGCGCGCGCAGAACTGGCACAACTGGACAGAACTGGTCGTAGAACTGGCCATGCACTTGGTCCACGAACTGCTAACCAAAAATCAGGTCCTGCAAAGAACTGGTTGCGCCAGTTGCACCAGCTTCATGCACTTCTCCACGCAAAGGGAAGGGGGGGCGCGGGCCTGCCGGGGCGCGTCGCCTGTCCAAGGACGCGCGGGTTTTTCAAGAAGCTCGGAAGGTGGTGGCTACCACTATTACGGAACGACTCCCGCACACCAACTTCAGCGTCAACACATGCGCCTCCAGCATCACCATCGACAACGCCGATGCCACCACCATTGTCATGAGGGGGTTAGTTTCGTGCACGTGTGTCATCTGGGCGCCTGGAGCACCATGTATTCCAACATCCCAGGTGCACCGCCCCAGTCCCTGCCAGGTGCGCCGCGCGCGCCAGGTGAGCAAGGTTTGCCAGGTGCGCGCAGTGCTCCAAGTTCGCCAGGTGCGCCTGCCACGCCCGTCTCCAAGGACGACCCCGAGGACGATGGGGCAGCCGCTCTCGCGCGGTCCGCCCGACCCCTGGTGGGGGGGGGGGGGGAGCGCCGCGCGGATGGCCAATTGCGCCGCACAATTTTTTTTTTTTTTTTTTTTTTTTTTGTTTTTTATTTTTTTTTTTTTTTTTATTTTTTTTTTTTTTTTTTTTTTTTTTTTTTTTTTTTTTTTTTTTTTTTTTTTTTTTTTTTTTTTTTTTTTTTTTTGTTTTTTTTTTTTTTTTTTTTTTTTTTTTTTTTTTTTTTTTTTTTTTTTTTTTTTTTTTTTTTTTTTTTTTTTTATTTTTTTTTTTTTTTTTTTTTTTTTTTTTTTTTTTTTTTTTTTTTTTTTTTTTTTTTTTTTTTTTTTTTTTTTTTTTTTTTTTTTTTTTTTTTTTTTTTTTTTTTTTTTTTTTTTTTTTGTTTTTTTTTTTTTTTTTTTTTTTTTTTTTTTTTTTTTTTTTTTTTTTTTTTTTTTTTTTTTTTTTTTTTTTTTTTTTTTTTTCTTTGGGAAAACGCTTAAAACTTGTACAGCTTGTACAACGTGCGCTTATAACTTGTTGGGAAAAGACGTGAAACTTGTAAAACTTATAAAGAAAGAAGACTTTCAATGTGCAAAAAGGTTTCTCTCTGACAAGTTTCACGGGTTTTACGTATCTTGCCAACAAGTTTTACGCGGAAGTTTTACAAGTTGTATAAGTTTAACGGCGTTCCCGCGCAGGTCGCGGACTCACGTCGTCCTGGCGCCTGGAGCATCACATATTTCAACATTCCAGGTGCACCGACCCAGTCCCCGCCAGGTGCGACGCGCGCGCCCGGTGGAGACGGCCGATGAGGGCCCCAAGACAGCCAGGAGGGCCCTCAGATACCCACAAGAATGCTACAAAAGAGAACAACATCCTAGGTAAACGCCGAAATTATTACAAGTCTTTGAACGGTCAACGTATACGAAGCGTCACTATACAAAACAACTTCGGCATATCTAGCATCAAATCCAACAACAGATCACACATTCGACATGACCTAACATAAACTAGGACAACATCAACACAAAGTCATATAACCACATCCATGAAACAATAAAAACCTGCTTACCCAGACGCTTCGTATACGTTGACCGTGCAAAGATTAGTAATCATTTCGGAGTTTACGTAGGATGCTGTTCTCTTTTTCTGCTTGAATTTCAGAGCGGTCTCTTTCTAGAGTCGCGACTGTATGTGGAAACCGAGGGGCCCTCCGGGCTAATTTCTCGGGGCCCCTCATTGGCCGTTCTTACACGGCTTTCCTCGGGCCCCCCACGGTTGAAAGCCGAGGGGAAAGAGCAGAGCAACAAGTCCTCTTTCGGCAAGAAACGGTCAAGTTGGGCAGTGGCCAATCTCTCCGCAAAGAAGTGGGGCTTTCATTTTGTTGCCGCGCGTTTGTGGACGGGACGTTGTGAACGCGGCGACGGCGGGGAGATGGCACCAGGAAGGACCTCTAGCAACGCACTGCCCTGCGCAATGCCAACGCGAAAGTTCGCGGTTCTTTGTCTTTCCTTCCATTCTGGAGGACAAAACGAGCCAAAACGGGGGTACCTGGGCCAAGCTCAGCCAAAGAGTTCCCCTAAGGCCCTTTTTTCCTCGGTTTCTTTTTTTGTCCAATCGGCGCTCATCTTTCTCTGGGGCCGCGCCTCCTTCTTCGAATAGCCCCACGGGCCCGCTGGCCCCGCGGCTCCGGCGGGCGAAAAGGCGACGGCGCTCAGGGGGGCGGGCCTGCCGCATGGGCGGGCGGGGTTTGCCTTTTAGCGAGTGTTTGGGAAGATCGTTCCGGAGAAAGAGTTTGAAGCCTGCCATTCCTTTCCCCACAAAGGCGCAGCCCGGGACCTTCAGCCCCCCTCGTCTTACGGTTGGGAGTGGTGTTTTTCTGGTCATTGATCAAATAGCGCTGCGGGGAGATGTGGCGAAAGTTTTTCCCGCCGATCTTGTTAGAAAGCACTCCACGGGTGAGATTTCCGGCGCCTGAATGCCGTACCATCCACGCGGGGCCCCATCGGCCACCCTTTGAGCACTGGTGGAATTTGAAGTCCCCTTGAAGCGGCGCTGCACCGCGTTGCTGGCCCGCGAAGGGCGCGGATCCCCCCTACCCACCCCCCCTTCGAGGAGTGAGCAAGGGCGCTGCGCCCCCGTCGCATGCCTCTGCGCGCGCAGAACTGGTACAACTGGACAGAACTGGTCGTAGAACTGGCCATGCACTTGGTCCACGAACTGTTAACCAAAAATTAGGTCCGGCAAAGAACTGGTTGTGCCAGTTGCACCAGCTCCATGCACTTCCCCACGCAAAGGGAAGGGGGGCGCGGGCCTGCCGGGGCGCGTCGCCTGTCCAAGGGCGCGCGGGTTTTTCAAGAAGCTCGGAAGGTGGTGACTACCACTATTACGGAACGACTCCCGCACACCAATTTCAGCGTCAAAACATGCGCCTCCAGCATCACCATCGACAACGCCGATGCCACCACCATTGTCATGTGAGGGAGTTAGTTTCGTGCACATGTGTCATCTGGGCGCCTGGAGCATCATATATTCCAACATCCCAGGTGCACCGCCCCAGTCCCTTCCAGGTGCGCCGCGCGCGCCAGGTGAGCAAGGTTTGCCGGGTGCGCGCAGTGCTCCAAGTTCGCCTGGTGCGCCCGCCACGCCCGTCTCCAAGGACGACCCCGAGGATGATGGGGCAGCCGCTCTCGCGCGGTCCGCCCGGCCCCTGGTGGGGGGAGGGGGGGGGGGGCGCCGCGCGATGGCCAGTTGCGCCGCATCAGGGAAACGCTTAAAACTTGTACAACTTGCACAGCGTGCGCTAAAAACTCGTTGGGAAAAGACGTAAACTTGTAAAACTTATAAAGAAAGAAGACTTTCAATGTGCAAAAAGGTTTCTCTCTGACAAGTTTTACGAGCTTTACGTATTTTGCCAGCAAGTTTTACGCGGAAGTTCTGCAAGTTGTACAAGTTTTACTGCGTTCCCGCGCAGGTCGCGGACTCACGTCATCCTGGCGCCTGGGGCATCACATATTTCAACATCCCAGGCGCACCGACCCAGTCCCCGCAAGGTGCGACGCGCGCGCCAGGTGGAGACGGCCAATGAAGGCCCCAAGATAGCCAGGGGGGCCCTCAGAGACCCACAAGAATGCTACAAAAGAAAACAACATCCTAGGTAAACTCCGACCAGTTCTACGACCTACAATGCCACTGGCCAGTTCTACGACCAGTTCTGTCCAGTTGCACCAGTTCTGCGCGCGCAGAGGCATGCAACGGGGCGCAGCGCCCTTGCTCACTCCTCGAAGTCCGCGCCCTTCGCGGCCAGCAACGCGGTGCAGCGCCGCTTCGTGGACTTCACCAGTGGCTCAAGGGTGGCCGAGGGGGCCCGCATGATGGTGCGCTTCAGGCGCCGAATGAAGGCGGCCCTGCTCTCCATCTCGGACGGCGGGAACTTCGCCCCCTGGCCCCGCAGGCGCTTATTGATCATGGACCAGCAGCCGCAGTCAAGGGGGTTGAGGTCCGGGCTGCGCTCGGGGAAAGGAATGCACTTCACCTTCTCCTTCGCCCGGAGGCAGCCCGCGCCCGCCCATCAGGCCCGCCCCCCTGAGCGCGCCTTCGCCGAGCCGCGGGGCCAGCGGGCCCGTGGCTTCGAAGGAGGCGCGCCCAAGATGGAGCCGCCGATTGGACGATCGAGGAAGGGCCTTAGCCTCTTTGCTGCGCTTGGCCTTGTACCCCGTTGGGTCGTTGTCCTCCAGAATGAGGAAAGGCCGCGACTTCGCGTTGGCCTTGCGCAGCGCCGGGGCCAAGGCCTCCCGGCACATCTCCGCCGCCGTCGCCGCGTTCCAACGTCCGTCCACAACGCGGCACATGAGCGCCTTCTTTGCGGAGACGGCCACGGCCACGTTCACGTTCTTGCCGAAAGAAGACTTGTTGCTCTTCCTCGGCTCGACGTGGCCCGAGGAAGCCTGGAGACGGCCAATGAGGGCCCCAAGACAGCCAGGGGGGCCCTCAGAGACCCACAAGAATGCGACAAAAGAGAACAGCATCCTAGGTAAACTCCGAAATGATTACAAATATTTGCACGGCCAATGTATACGAAGCGTCACTATACAAAACAACTTCGGCATATCTAGCATCAAATCCAACGGCAGATCACGCCTTCGACATGACCTAACGTAAGCTCGGATAACATCAACATAAATTCATATATCCACATCCATGAAACAATGAAGACATGCTTACTGTGGGATGTGGGTATATGGATTGGATGTGGGTATATGAATTGATTGCGATGTTGTCCTAGTTTACGTTAGGCCATGTCGAAGGCGTGATCTGTTGTTGGATTTGATGCTAGATATGCCGAAAGTGTTTTGTATAGTGACGTTTCGTATACGTTGACCGTTCAAAGATTTGTAATAATTTAGGAATTTACCTAGGATGTTGTTCTCTGTTGTAGCATTCTTGTGGGTCTTTGAGGGCCCTCCTGGCTATCTTGGGGCCTTCATTGGCCGTCTCCACCTGGCGCACGCGTCGCACCTGGCGGGGGCTGGATCGGCACACCTGGGATGTTGAAATATGTGATGCTCCAAGCGCCAAGATGACGTGAGTCCACGACCTGCGCGGGAGCGCCGTAAAACTTGCACAACGTGTAAAACTTCCGCGTGAAACTTGTTGGCAA